TTCTCTTATAAAACCTCATGCTTCCATGAATCTTGGAGCCATCACAGTGAATCCCACTCCTAATGCCAACTGCAAAGACCATGTGCAGGCTGTGTTTGACTTTCTCTGACTACAAAGAAAGTAATAATCAGAGGATCAAACTCATAATCAGCCCAAGGCCAATTGCTATGAACTGGAGGTCAGACATGTCTCCACCCTATATCAGTGCCTTTCAAATTAGTCAGGCTTGAGTACCAGCTTTAAAGAACGTATCTTTATTTCTCTTATTTCTCTAGGACCCCAATCTCTTGTTAGCCAAATGTCTTAGTCTAGGTTTTCTAGAGAAGCAAAACTAGTGAAACATCTGAGTATGTTTATTATCAAAGAAATGGCTTACAATTGCAGAGTCCCAGGTCCCCAGTAGAAGAGAACTCTCAACAGGCTTTTGAAGAAGAAATTGATAGTGCCTTACACCTTAACACAAGAACAAAGAATTAAGGGCCTAAATGTAGAAACAAACACCATAAAATTTTTGAAGAAAGTATAGCGATATGTCAAGACTATGGCCTTAGTGTTTTATGATGTTATTGTTGTTAGGTGCCATGGAGTTGGCACCAACTCAGAGAGACTCTGTGCACAACAGAACAAAATACCATCCAGTCCTGTGCTAACCCCACAATCATTGCTACACTTGAGCTCATTGTTGATGCCACTATACCAATCCATCATGTTAGGGGTCTTCCTCTTCTTTGACTACCCTCCGCTTTACAAGCATGGTGTCCTTCTGCAGGGTTTGGTCCCTCCTGATAATATGTCTGAACTGTGAGAGATGAAGTCTGGCCATTCTGGCTTCTAAGGAACAGTCTGGCTGTACTTTTTCAACACAAATTTGTTTCTTTTTTGGCAGTCCAATTGTACTTTTCATATTCACCTCCAACAATGTAACTCAAATGCATCAATTCTTTTTCTTTCTTCCTTATTCCCTGTCCAATTTACACTACTGAAAATACCATGGCTTGTGCCAGGTGCACCCCAGTCCCCAAACTGAAATCTGTGCTCTTCAGCACTTTAAAGAGGCATTGTATGGCAGATTTCCCTAATGGAATACGTCCTTTGGTTTCTTGACTGCTTCTTCCATGAGTGTTGTTGGTTGATCCAAGAAGAATGAAGTCCTTGCTTCAGTCTTTTCTCTATTGTTAAGAATGTTGTTTATTGGTCCAGTAGTGAGGAGTTTTGTTTTCTTTACGCAGCCCATATCAAAGGCTGTGCTCTTTGATCTTCATCAGTAAATATTTTAAGTCCTCTTCACTTTCAGCAAGTAAAATTGTATCATCTGCATATCACAGGTTGTTAATGAGTCTTCTTCCAATCCTAATGCCACATTTTTCTTCATAGAACCCAGCTTCTTGGATTATTTGCTCAGCATACAGGTTGAATAAGTATGATGAAAGAATACAACCCTGTTGCACACCTTTCCTAATTTTAAACTATTCAGTGTTCCCTTGTTCTGTTTGAACAACTGCTTCTTGGTCCATGTACAGATTCCTCATGAGCAAAATTAAGTATTCCAGAATACTCATACTTCTCAATGTTGTCTATAGCTTGTCATGATCCACACAATTGAAAGCCTTTGCGTAGTCAATAAAGCATAGGTAAACATCTCTCTAATATTCTCTGCTTTCAGCCAAGATCCATCTGATGTCAACAATGATATCCCTCGTTCCACATCCTCTTCTGAATCCGGCTTCAACCTTTGGAAGTTCTCCGTCAATGTATGGTTGCAGCTGCTTCTGTATTACCTTTAGTAAAGCTTTACTGGCATGGGATAACAAAGATACTGTCCAGTGATTTCCGCATTCCATTGGGTAACCTCTCTTTGGAATGGGCAGGTACAAATACACATCTTTTCTAATCAATTTGGCAGATAGTTGTCTTCCAAATTTTTTAACATAGATGAGTGTCTCCAGTGCCACCTCACGTTCTTGAAAGATTTCAATTTGTATTCCATCAATTCCTGGTGCCTTGTTTTTTTCCAATTCCTTCAGTGCACTTTGGACTTCTTCTTTCAGTGTCATTAGCTCTTAATCATATGCTACCTCTTGAACTGGCTGAACATCAGCCATTTCCTTTTGGTACAGTGACTGTGTATTCATTCCATCTTCTTTTGCTGCTTTCTGCATTGTTCAGTGATTTGCCCAGAGAAACCTTCAGTAACGAAAGCCAAGGCTTTAATTTTTTCTTCAGTTCCCTCAGTTTGAGAAATGCTAAGTGTGTTCTTCCTTTTTGTTTTTCTAACTTCACATCTTTGTACATTTTGTTATAATATTTGACTTTGTCTCCTCAAGTTGACCTTTGAAATTTTCTGTTCAGCTTTTGTACTTCCTCCTAGCATAGAAACACTGCCCCTTATGAAACATTATTATGAAAAAGTTTTATCCTTAATAAAATTAGTGTTTGCATTTAGGCATTCAGTTTTTTGTAACTACATAATCAATTTCATGGTAGGAAGATGAGTGAGGCTTTATGCTCCCTTAAAGATTTACAGACTTGATAAACCTATACAGGGTCTCTATGAGTCGGAACTGACTCCATGGCACATAACCATAACCACCACCACATAACAGATAATGTTAGGCCGGTGAACAATTTTTTTCCCTAGTTGTTGATCGATTTTGGCAAGCCACACAGGAATTTGTTTTATAGCTTCTGTTAAACTAATTAGCAAATCTGGCTTCCTCAGATTAATAGATATATATACATCCAACAAAACTAAACACTGAATTTAGCATCTTTTAACAGCATATTTTTAACTGTTGTTCAATGAATTTTGTTCTTTGCTCCTGCTTCATTTTCAATTTTTATAGTAACTCAATTAAAACATTGTCTTCCTCCTTTATTTTGTAACTTATTAGTGGAAAGTATTCATAAAATCATTCTTATTTTTAATGCTTATTTTTTTAGCATCTACATTTTATGTGGTTCTTAGATCTATAAAACTGAGATGCAGTGATCACTTTGAAAGGATAACCAGGAAGAATGTTTTAGCAGTGGTTAAACGATGACATACAATGCTAAGCTCAGATAACTGGATAGATTAGGATCCAGGCTTCGCTTTATAACTGTATACTGACTTTCTTAGCTGTTGGCTCAATAACTTACTTTCTTCTCATTTGTTTATCAAGATCTTGCTCTGTGCCTGACATTGTAACTGGCACTATGAATATAGAAATGATGATAGCATAATTTCTTCCTTAAGGAACTGATAACATAGAAGGTGACAAAGATATGTAACAAAAATGGAAGTTTAGTTGATGGTTGAAGCATATAAAAGTTATAGAGATTTTACAAAGGGAGAGAGTTGAGTATGGCAGTAGCATCAGGGAAGGATTCCTTTAGGAAATGTCTGAACTAAATTTCAAAGGGTAGTGTATTGCTTTGTCAATGTTAAGGTAGATATTGCGGATACTGGGATTGTATCATCATATAGGGCAGGCATGGGTGAACGAAAGAACATGGTATGTTTAAGAACCATAATCAGACATTGAGCATAAAGTGTGAGGATTGATAGTTGAGAGCTGTGTTTCTTGTCATTGTCAATTGTCACCTAGAAAAGCAATTTAGGAGAGTTAATGAAATAATAGAGGCAACGAAAGATTTGAATAGCATCCTTGGAATCAGTTTGAAATTGATTCACTAGAATATACGTTGCATTGTACTTCTGGTTTTGATTTCTTATTTTTAATGCTTACTTTTTTAGCATCTACATTTTATGTGGTTCTTATGTCAAATATATAAAACTGAAATGTAGTGACTACTTGGAAAAGATAACCTTTTCTTTTTTCCCTTTGTCACTCTGTTCTTTCCATGAGTGTGTTTGTCCCCCCAATGTCTACTGCCATCCAGTTGACTTTGACTCATAGAGGCCCTATGTAGGGTCTCTGAGACTGTAAATCTTTATGGTAACAGCCAGTTTCATCTTTCTCCCACAGAGCAGCTGTTGGGTTTGAACTACCAACCTTGAGGTTAGCATCCCTGTGCTTATATATGTGTCTTTTGTTGTATTTGAGTGCCGTCGAGTCGTTAGGGTTTCCAAGGAATGGCTGGTGGGTATGAACCTACGACCTTGTAGTTCAAACCAATCTTCTAGTCCAGTGTTAAACCTACAGTGTCACACCAGGACTCAGTATATGTGTATAAAGACAGGATAATTGAGGGAAAAAAGAAATAAGAATCAAGATCTTGATTTTGGTCCTGGCTCTTGTATCCTTATTTGAGCAAACCACTTTATATTTCTGAGCTTTGGTTTCCTTATTTATATATGATATATCAAACTACATGATCTAGGCTTTTCAAAACAAATATATATTTTTGAAAGGTGTAGTCTCTGAGTGCCTAGAACACAATAGGTGCTCAATACATATTTTTTAATAATTGGAATTAGAAATTGTATCAAAAAATAAGAGTAAACAAATTATGACAGAATATGCAAAGATTTATATACACATCATTATTCCTTTAGATGCACTTTCTATATGAAAAAATGCTCAAATAGTTTAATTTGTCTCTTAAAAATGTTTCACTTGCTATTTATTTAGATTTGTTAGATTCTAAATGTAGAAACTATAATAGCTTTGTATTTAAAATGTTTTAGATTAGGAAGTCATATATTATACCTTCTGCGTGTTCAATTAAGAATTCGTTTGTACTTTTAAATGTTTTAAGTTCACCATTTCTCTTTCTAATTTGGCTATGGCAGAAGTTCTGGGACTTAGAATTTTTGGTTCTCTTTTTAATAATCTAGCTATTACGGGTTTTTTTCTTGTATAAACTTAACTTTTTCTCAGTTCAAAATTGGTTTTTCTTTTCATGCTACTTTTCTATTCTTATATATATATATTTTTTGAAAGCAGATTATAAAAATTCATTTTAGTATTGTAAAATTGCTATAATAGACTATTGCATGTATATACATACACACACATATATATATTCTTTTATTTAAAAATTTGTTTTCCATTTAGGGGTCTTACTGGGCAATAGACACCAATCCGAAGGAGGATGCGCTGCCTACTCGGCCAAAGAAGAGGGCACGATCTGTAGAACGGGTAAAAATGCTTTTTATTGGAACTTTTGTATGATGGGGTTAAAGTGTCAGAAAGCAGTTTTTTTTTTAAACATTTTTCTGTTGTTGTTGGAATATACACAACAAAACATTTATCAATTCAACAGTTTGTACATGTATAAGTCAGAGACACAGATTCCATTTTTTGAGTTAAGCAACCATTCTCACCACCACCCCCAGTTGTTTCTTGGCCATTAACATAAACACACTACCTCTGAAATTTGCAATCTTTGTAGTTGCCGTTGCCACTTTGATCCTATGTAGTAGTTCTTAGTAGAGCATAATGCTCAAGGCGGATACTTTTTACTAGTTAAACTAAGCTGTTATTTGGTTTTAAGAATGAAATACAGATTTTAAAAGTTCATTTCCAGCATTGTAACAAGTATATTGTTATTAGATGCACAAGAGAATAAAACACTGCTCGGTCATGCACCAATCTCACAATCGTTGCTACACTTGTGTGCCCATTGCTGCTGCCACTGTGCCAATCCATCTCATTGGGAGTCTTCCTCTTTTTCACTGACCCTCCACTTTACCTAGCATAATGTTTTTCTCCAGGGATTGGCCCATCCTGATAATATGTCTGAGGTATGAGAGACAAAATCTCACCATCCTGGCTTCTAAAGAACATTCTGGCTGTACTTCTTCCAACACAGATTGGTTTGTTGTTTTGGCAACCCATAGTACTGTTAATATTCTCTTCCAGCACCATAACTCAAATGCATCAGTTCTTCTATGGTCTTCTTTATTCACTGTCCAACTTTTACATGCATATGAGCACCAGCTTGCAGCTTGAAAGGACATGTATCTTGAAGACCTGTGGAATTTATTGTGTTTTCTGTCATTTTCTCTCTTCTTTTAAAGTTCTTGGGACTTGAATTGTTTTTTGGAATTTTAGTTGGGTTGACAACTGTACATTTCTTGTGGATATTAAGTCTACCTTTTATTCTGTTATCCTGTTTCATAGTTCTTAGAACAATGCCTCTTTATTTCTGTTAGAGCCCCCACTTCCTTTGTTTTGAGTCTGTATTGTCAGTTTTGTAATGGAGTCTATAGAAATATGTTGTTAAGTGCCGTTGAGTTGTTTCCAACTCGTAGCGACCGTGTATAGAGTTTCCGAGGAGCAGCTGGTGAATTTGAACTGCCAATCTTGTGGTTCAAATCAAACCTTACAGTCCAGCACTTTTGACCCTCAGCACCACACCGGGAATCTCTTAATGGTCCAAATGGTTAACATATTTAGTTGTTAAATGAAAGGTTGGTGGTTCAAGTCTACCCAAGGTGCCTTGGAAGACAGATGTTATCATCTACTTCCGAAAAATCAGGCATTAAAAACCCTATGGATCCCAGTTCTATTCCAACAGGGTCTACATGAATCAGAATCAACCCAGTGGCAGCTGGTTTTAGTTACTTAAACATAAGAAGACTTCAAAAAGTTCATGGAAAAACTGATTTTAAAGATAATAGTTTTTCTATAAATTTTTTGAAACCTTGTATAGGGTTCAGATTACAATAGTATGTTGAACACATAAATCATATGTTCTTGAATGTACATTTTGGGATATACTTTCTAGATTATTTTTCTACTCCTTATCTTTTGTTCTTCATTTTAAGTTTAAAACATGTAAGAACTTTCAGTAACTTACTTTTTAATTTAGTTGATGCATGACCTTTATTTCTGAAATTCAGTCTCTTAAGTTTTACTACTTTTTGTTGTTGTTGTGAAGTACCGTTGAGTCGGTTCCAACCCATAGCGACCCTGTATACAGTTTCCAAGGAGCAGCTGGTGAGTTTGAACTGCCAATTCTGCTGTTCAAACGGCTTTGCATTCTGGCCCATTAACCCACATTGCCACACCAGGACTCCTTCATTACTTTAGTTTAAGGCAAATAGATGAAGTCCCTTCTTAAAAATCCAAAGACATTTGGGAGAAGTGACCTTTAGTCCCTAACAGTATGAATAAGTTTACTTTTCAATGACTGTAGTGCTAGGGACTGACAGGACATGTCAGATGTAGGTGGGGATGGAGGATCAGAAAAAGGGAGGCAGCTAGATAGTTCAAAAACATTTCAGTTTTCCATTGGCAGAAGGAGTACTTTCCTCTACTTAGAATTATCAGTAGTCCAAAGTGTGGCGCTAAAGGATAAACACAGAACTGCTATAACCGCAAGGTCAGTGTTTCAAACCCAACAGCCCCTAATTGGAAACCCTGTACAGGGTTGCCATGAAAGGGAACTTGACAACATTTAACAACAACAGTAACATCGCAGTCTATACTCTCCATATCCTCCCAGCAAGAGGTTTGTTGTTGTTAAGTGCCGTCGAGTCGGTTCTGACCCATAGTGACCCTGTACAGGGTTTCCGAGGCTGTAAATCTTTATAGGAGCAGAAAGCCTCATCTTTCTCCTGCGGAGTGGCTGGTCGTTTCGAACTGCTGACCTTAAGGTTTGCAGCCCGATTCATAACCAACTACGTTACCAGAGCTCCTCAGCAAGAGGTTAGAGGATAGAAGTTTAAACACAGGTCCCAAGGGTGTTTCAGGGTTGAAGTTTTGTGTGTGTGTGCTGTGTGCTTCTTTCTCCTATGGTAAGTACTACACTTGCCTTGAACTAATGGAGTCCTGGTGGGCATTGTAGAATAAATACTAGACTACTGACCACAAGGTTGATAGTTCAAACCCACAGTTACTACTCGGAAACCCTATACAGGATTGCTATGAGTTTGAACTGACTCAACAGCACAGTATTTTGCAACAATAGCAAATATTATTTATAGCTCTTCAGTTATTAACATCGCCAATTTTTAAATAAATCAAAGTGTTCCTAATAATGTTTATGTTGTTATGTGCCATCCAGTCAGTTCCAACCCATAGTACCCCTGTATAAGGTTTCCGAGACGCAGCTGGTAACCTTGAACTGCTGACCTTGTGAATCAAACTAACTTTGCAGTCCAGCGCCACATCAGGTTTATTTTGTTTGTTTGTTTCACCATCCAACAGTATTTACTTCTATTCTCTCTGGGTTTTTTTTTTTGTTTTTTTTTTTTAATGTATACAGAAACTCACAGGAATATATATGATCATTTTTTAAAAACCAACAGCACATTCTGAAATTCAGCACATTCTGCAATTCTGCACATTCTGCTGGCCACCAGCACACAGCTCTTCTCTTTCTATGGATGTAAGTCCTCAGCAGCTTTATCTCTGCCTCCATCTCTGGTGTCACTGCTTCTCTGGATAGGGTCCCACATTCTGCTTGTGCTCTTCTCCCATGATGACCCTAGGGTCCTCTGTTCCTGGACTGTAAGATTAAGTACTCCCCCCTTTATGTTATAAAACTTCTACTCAACAACTTACTTTTGTGGTTTATTTTTGTTGTTATGTGCTGTTGAGTCAGTTCCAACTCAAAGCAACCTTGTATAGGGTTTCCGAGGAGTAGCTGGTGAATTTGAACTGCTGACTTTGTGGTTTGCAGTCCAGTGCTGATCCTACAGTACGAGAACCTGTTAGTTAATAATACTGGCTATTTATTTGATCTGTGCTATGGATTGATTGCCACTGTAGGAGAGAAGCCTGTTAGAAAAAGGCCAATTGCCATTGAATACATTTTAGTATGGAAACAAATGTTGTTTAGCAAAAAATACTCTGAAAGATAATGTTGTACAAAACAAAATTTCCTGCCCAGATAAATTGTTGTGTCTGCTTTTTTGTTGTTTTGTTTTTTTTCTATTGTTGTTGGTTTTCAATGTAAAGGCATTTTTGAAAGGCGGTTGGAGAGTGGAATACTTTGTAATTTATTTTTTATTAGGGAAGAGTTTATATTTTAAGTAACCATTGGGCTTTGTATAAGAAAATGCCTAGGACAGTCAAATAGTGATGGTTTGTAGTAATATATATATATTTTTAAGGTTTTTATTGTGGATTGAGGGAAAGTTTACAGGGCACATCATCAGTTTCACATTCAACCATTCATTTGACTTGTTTCTTACATTGATTATAATCCCCTCCATACATCATCTGTAGTAATATTTTTAGACAATTGAAGTTTACTCAAAAATAAAATATGACCAATAAGTTGAAAACTTGTCAAGGATTAAGTAACATGGCAAATATGTTAATACCACTAAAAATTCCATATTAAATCTTTGAAATTTGCTATTTCATTTTCCATGTGCGGTCTATGAGAAAAAATGAAAATATTTTACACGTTTTCGTTTTTTTGTTTTGAAGGAAGCTGTACTTTGAATGAAACAGTAGAGGCTTTCTAACAATTACAGAGAAGTGAATTTTAAACATGCAAGGCATTGGGATAAATTCTCTTGGTTTGGGGTTTAGGCTCGTGATCTTATGAAGCAACTCAGTTCATTGGTATAATATAGTTCTTATAGTTACGGTCTTCCTACCAGTTTGGTGAGTAGTGTCTGGGGTCTTAAAAGTTTGCAAGTAGCCATGTAAGATACAACTATTGGTCTTTATTCACCTGGAACAAAAAAGAAAGAAGGAAACCCAAGAGTGAGAGAAGAAACTGGATTACATTTTCTCCACATTGAGACCAGAAGAACTAGATGGTACCCAGCTATCACTACCGAATGTTCTGCTTACAGGAACACAATAGATGAGTCCTGATAAAAAGTGAGGAAATTATGAGTAGCACTTCAAATTCATAAAGAATCCAGACCTAGTAGACCTACTGAGTTTAGAGACAATGACCTGAGTTATTCTTGAAACCTTAACTTGAAACTCTTCCCTAAAGTCACTCTTCAACTTACAGTTTTGCCCAAAGAATATTCACCCTTGAATGTTTTTTATATTTTAAAAAAAAAAAGCACCCAAAAAACCCATACTTTTCAATAGTTATTTTAAAGTATAGTTGAGAAGGTTGGAGGGCAGTGAAACAACTATCACAGAAATAAGAGGAATGTTAACACATGTGAAGAATGTAACCAGTGTTCTATGTCTAGAAACTCTGAAAATAAAGGATTTTA